GGAGGCGCAGCCGGTACTGAAGTCGGCATGTTCTCATGGTTGTGCCGGAGATGAGACTTGAGGGTGTTTGCGCGTTGATGGTGGTAGAGGCATCCGTCGACAGGGCAATGAAAGTACCCGTCCTCGTTTCGGTGTTGGATAATCACTTGTCCGTTTAATGTGATTCGCGTGCTTTTTTGATGGACCTATGTGCCGAACAGTGAGACGTGTCGCGTTTTTTTTGTGTGTTTTTCTGTCTGTGTGTGCTTTTTTTGGCGACGTGATAAAGCGACCTCAGGAACAACGTACCCGAGAAACGTGTTGCTCTCGTGCCAGACGATTAGGAAATGCACGCTCGCAATGACAGCACAACACTTCTTGGTTCTGTGCCATGCTGCGTTGGTGTAAGGAGCAGAGGGTGGCGAGGACTGCAAGAGGGCAAGGCGCGGCAAGAGCAGATAGCTCAGGTTCAAAAATGAATCTTGGTGCTGTCTCAGAGGGTGAAATTTTTGTTACACTTTGGTTTTCTTTTAAATGTGGAAGGTGTAACGGTCATGTTCTGGACGTTGTGAGTGAGTGTAATGTTGCTTGTCAATTAACAGTGTACACGGTTCAATACCTCACAGCCATCGTCATCATACCGCCCATGCATGATGACAATACAACGTTAGGGTCTTTTCTTTGAGCTCACTCTCACACCACAACTCTACATTCCTGAATAGCGTTAGGAAGGTGGATCATTCCCGGAATTCCTTACACTAGATGTTTCCCTTGCCATCGTAAATCCCTTTCCCCTCCAACGCAACTGATTTCATTTTTCAGTATCTCTTCACATCCATGCTTGATCAGCGTATGTCGTCCAACACAAACGGCCCACAAGCTGTCAAACGTCTCAATTATACCCCCGCTTGAAAAGCAAACAAACACTCACTTCAACATTGCAAACTGCCGTTTCGCCTCAATCACAAACTTCAACACGCGCGGATGGCCAACGCGCCCCTCTGCTCCGTACAGCCAGCCCACAAGCGCCTGCATCTCCGACGGGTCAAAGTCCCGCCCTCCAATTGCCAGCAGCTCGGCCGGGCACTCCATGCGCTGCATGATGCCGTGCAAAGTTTGACTGCGTGACACAGACGCGACCAAGGCCCGGATGGTCTCGCGGTTGCGCTGGCCACAGGCCCGCCCCGTGCACTCCACCACTTGCTCACCTCCAATCTTCTGCGGCCTCCAACACCGGTAGCAAACACCCGCCCTCAAGGTCACTTGGCAATTACTACTACCATGACCGCGGCAGTGGCATCGAAAACAGCGCCCTTTCATGGCCGGGCAGCTAGAAGGCTGGTGGTGAGCAACCAAGCGGTCTCTGCTGCAGCTGCAGGCCCAGCAGTAGGTGCACATCCATAGCAGAGCCGTGTTAAAGTCGTCTGACTGAATGGGCGCCGATGGTACCATCAACTGTGCTCGTTTGGCCCGCGTCTGGCCCTCGTGTGATACTGGCGCCCCATGTGCTTCACGGCTTGGATGGCGCGCTGTGATGGTCGGCATCATGGAGCACACATTACAAGCCGGCGCTCCTGCGGCTGCACAAATGTGGCCCTCACCATCCAGCAGCCAACCAAGCTCAAAGGTCAGGCAGCGCTTCATGCTTGCAAATGGCTGCAGGTCTTCCGAAACCGCTGTGCCTGGTGGTATCCATAGCGTGGCCTCGCCACCCCGTCGGTCGCGGCCAGCCCGGCCAAAGGCCTGCGACAAGGTATTGCCGTTGTAGCCGCTGCCAAACCAGATCACCTTCCGAACGTTGGGCATGTCCAAGCCCGCGCCCAAGCAGCTTGTGGCCACCAAGACCAGACTCTGCGTGCCGCTCCTCCACTGCTCAAGAGCCGCCCGTGTGTCTTCGGCTGACATGTCAGCATCCACGGCCAGCGACTGCTCGTGACCCAACGTGCGTGCCAACTGAGTCGACAATGCCTCAACCTGCTTCTTCGTGTCACAAAAAATCAGCATGCGATCCACGCGGCCCTCTTGCTCCAACAGGTCATAGTGGCGTTCCACAAACATCTCAAATGCCTTTGTTGTTCCTTGTTGCACCGCTAGCCGAAGATCGGTTCGCATGGTTGGCATACGAAAGGTCTGGTACGAAGCGTCCTCCGTGCAATCCAGCTGTTGGAGCAGAGCCCGCTCATCTTTGGGGCAAAGCGTGCCAGTGAGGCCCACACACTTGACAGATGGGTCTTGGCAAAGATGGTCCAGCCGGCCTGGGCAGCGAACAAGACTGTCTCGATAGCTGGTGTCCACGAGCATTGTGTGAACTTCGTCCATCACTAGCATGGCCAGACGCTTCTGCTGCATGAGAGCTTGCACCCACCTCATCCCATGGCCAACCAAAAAGTCGACCGTCATGACAATCACTTGCACGTTGACTTGCATGTCACGGCCATCATTCTTAGCCCACTGCGATACAATGTCAGCCTGCTCGAAGCGGCGGCACAAGTCTCTGGCAAGCTCACGAAGCGGCACTACCCACACCA